GATCCTGTAGGTGCCACAAGATATGTTTCTGGGTTGCAGCCTGGTTCATAAATATGTACAAACTGAGATGAGAAACTCCTAACCCTTTGACATCTGCTCCTTGAACTAACTGGTTTCAGATATAAAAGAATGGTTAAAAGGTGCTTAAGTGGGACTAGACTTCCTTTAAATAGCTTTAATTTCAATGAGCACATTAGAGCACTAAAAGAATGACCAACATTCACAGGATATGGTAGACCCATGACTGGAGATTCTGATGTTCTTTCAAAGCTTAAAAATCATCCATAAAATGGATGAGGTGGGTGCTGGGATAGGATCAATGCTGTGTCACTTCTCCATTCTCTTGATCAAATTACGCACACCCTGCAAAAGGAGCTTTGGCAGATATTAAAAGGCATGTACTCATGTTGTATTTGTCTTAAATCCTGTTACTGGCCCCAACCACCATAGACCCACTAAGTCAACAGTTACTGGGGGTGCATCTACACTGTAGAAATAGTGCAATTTGAAACCACTAACTGCCATGGTACCATCCTACAGAATCCCAGGATTGTAGTTATTGTAGGGCACCAGTACTATTTGGCACAGAAGGCTAAAGACCTTGTAAAACTGCAAATCCCAGGAATCTATAGAATGCAACTACAGCACCTAAGGTTGTGTCAAATGTCATTATTTCAATAGTGTAGATACATTCTTGCTAATTCAACACATATGTAAATCCATTTGATTTTACAAGTCTACTCTAGTTGAAATTAACAGTAGAAGTCAGGACTTTGTATTTCCTCCAGTGAGGTCAAAAGTTGCCAGCAAGGAATGGGAAATATCTGTCAACTCCAGATGTTTTAGACTACAATTCCCATAATGCCTTACTATTGGCCATTACCAGGCAGGGCATTTAAGAGCTGAAATCCAAAATATGTAGGGGACCAAAGGTTTTCCAACTCTGAGCTTCTTTCTGAATACCAATTTGTAGACTGGGAAAGCATGAAACAGCACAATAACCCACCAACCCCCAATGCCTATCTACATTGACTGCAGCTCTGAACCCAATGGACACACGTATAGACACAGCACCAAGCTTTGGAAAACTATATCAGAAACATATATCACAGATTTCTCACATCATGTAAGTTTCATCCTAAGTGTGGGTATTGGGCTATTGTTATACGTGTGACTGGTAGGTTGCATGCTGATAATCATCACTCTCCATGAGTAGTGGCTGTGTCTCCTCTGAGATCCGTCTCTTCTTCCGACATCGTAGTGTAATTACTCCAACAATTAACATTATAATGGCACCCACCACAGCAGCTCCCACCAGCCAGGGCCAGATCTGACGTGCTTGCTCCAAATAAGGCAGAAAAAAATTCTGGAAGGGGTTGGCTGTCAAGAAAGAGAGAGAGAAAGGGAAAAAAATCCCCTCAGTTTTCCATTATAAAACATAATTCATTGGAAAGCTAAACATTTCAAGAAGAACCAA